AACCCCAGGTGGCCGAAGGCTCCGCCCCTATCACCGGAAACGAGCTCATGACTCTTAAGGCAAGTTTCAAAGGGGATATTAAGGACCTGATTGATAAATGGACGACTGTTTCCACCAGGGAACAGCCGGCCAAGAAGCCCTCCCATTCTGGGAGGAATAAGCCGGTCAAAGACCGAGAGGCCATTCCTTACCTTAAACCAAGGGAGGGACAAAGGCCCTTGATAAATCTAGCCAAACTACGGTTCCCTGAGCCAGGGAAGAGGAAGGCCATCCGGCATGTACAGCCGAATGGTTCAAAGAAAACTTATTCTGATGCCCGGAGGTTAATCCAGCAGAAGAAGAACATGCAACTGTCAAAGTCGGCTTCAACGTCGAACTTGCAAGACAGCTTTTAGAATACCTCAATGAGGTATTCACAATCAAACCGGGAGAACCAGACAGGCGGCATGTCCGCCCACTCTAGTCCTCAGATGCTCCATGCAGCCCCGTATGCACCTCAACAGCCATACATGTCGTATGAACAACCTTACATGCAGCCGACCCTCTTCGGGGGACAGGCAGCACATAACGTCCAGCCTTTGGACTGGCAGCTTTGACTGCTAAGACTTGGAGAACAACCCTCTGCGTTTCCCAAGGAAATAACTGAGGCTGCACAGCCGGCCAAGGTGAAAAATGTGTTGGTAGGTACCTATGATGGTACCACCAATCTAGAAGATCACCTTATGGCATACACCAACCTTATGTATCTTCAAGGGTTGGATGATGCTGCATGGTGTAGATGCTTCCCGGCCACATTGAAGGGAGTCGCCCAACAATGGTTCGGCAACCTGCCAGCCGGATGTATAAATAACTTTAAGACGCTTGCATACTTGTTTGCGTCCAACTTCTCAATGAACATCCCTGCGAAGAAAACAAGTCTTAACTTGGGAGCTATACAGCAGGGAGAGAAAGAAGGGCTACGGTCATACATCAGGCGGTTCAATCTGATGAGAATTCAGATTCAAGGACTGTCTGATGAAGTGGCCTATACAGACAATTTCAAAGGTCTAAAGGACGGGTCAGCCTTTAAGTTCGACCTTGTCAGAAAGAGGGTTGCTACCCTCCAAGAAGCACCAATGGAGGCGGACGCCTATATACAGGCGACCGAACTTTGCAACGTTAGTAAACAGCCGGACTCAAAGAAGTCCGAAAAAAGAGAGAGTCGGTCATTACAGCCGGCTAAGAAAGAGGAAAAGAAAAGAAAAGAAGTCTGGGCGGCCGACAACTTTGAGCAGCTGTCCAAGAAGAAAAAGAAAGAATCTGAACCATACACCCCAAAGTATGAGTTTAACAAGGATTGTCACTCCATCCTCATGGAGATCAAAGACAGGGTGACCATTGAGAAGCCGGCTGCTATGAAAGGTTCCGCCAAAAATCGGAACAAAAATAAGTACTGCCATTTTCATGAGGACGTTGGCCATGACACCAACGACAGCTATAGTCTCAGGCGGCTGTTGGACCGTTTGGTTGACAAAGGAGTGCTCAAATCCTACATTCTGAGGTCCAAGGTTACCCTGCAAACTAACCCTGGGCAGTCGTCTAAGAAAAATTCTCAACCTGCTAATAGCTCTGATACTGACGAAGAACAGATCTATACAATAGCAGGCGGCTATGCTGGAGGCGGTCCAACCATTCGGGGAACCAAAGACTACATCAGGCGGTTACCTTTAGTCTGTAAAGATGAAGGTGCTTGAAAAATCTTCAGCGGCTATAAGAGCAGGCGGTCTAGTAGCAGGCGGCAGTCGTTCTTTCTCAGAAAATGACAAAGTTCTCAAAGTCAAGAGTTCTGTCTGTAATTTTTTTGGAAATATCCAAAAAATGATTGGGACATGCCCTATTTATAGGGGGTGAATTTCAAGGGACAGTAAAAAAAACAAAAACGGTAAAAACCATTGGCCAATCAGAGTGTGACATCTGTCACAGGCGCCACGTGGCAAGCCACGTCACCCTTGTGAGGGGCAAATGATTAGGGGATTTTTTTCCCACCACGTGGACCAATTAAATTCTGCCACGTGTCATCCACGTGGACCAACCAGAGTCCGCCACGTGTCACCTCGTGAGAAGTCCAAGGTGGACCAATCAGGCTACGACGCGTGGCAGACAGATTGCCAACTAGGAAAGTGGCCTTTAACGACACAAATTCCTAGGTAAGCCCAGTCCGTCCTAGGTTTCCGAAACCTAATACTAGGCACGCATTTCAAGACCCTATAAAAGGGAGATGTTCCCCCTGAGGAACATCATTTAGAAAATTATTAAACACACGTGTACATTAATTGCTGAGCATTAACTCCAGCTTTAATTGCACTTCTTAAGAGGTAAGGCTCGGATTTCAAGGCAATCTCAGATAGGCGGATGATCACTCCTCTCCTTAGAGGAGCCTGATCCCATCAATATTCCACACTGTTCTACATCCGAACACGTTCTAACTTGATCGTCGGAGGCAGAACACCCACCCCCGGGAGTCTCCGTTGTTTTGCAGGTACAAGCGTCCAGAGGTCAGTCTTGGTGTTGTAACTCTCCCACAGGACATTCGAAAAACCCCGAAACAGATATCATATCACTTATTTATATAATAGTGTAGTTTTTGTAGTTATCTATGTTATTTATTAACTTTTTTTTTATTGCACTTAAATTATTTTTAATGTACAGAAAGTATTTTTACCAAACTAAAATTATTGTTTCTGATTAAAACTTATTTTTACTGATTTTCTATTTTTTATTAAAATATATTATAAATGGATCTCATTTTAAAGAACTTTTTAAAACGAATTTTATGATGGAAATAGTAATGAGTTATAGGATATTTATTAAAATTTATAATTAATTTTTTATATATGAAATATTAGAAATATATTTATAATAAAACACTATACAACATTTTTATCCTAAATAAATCTATCCAAAATTCGCTTACGTAGCATCCTATGTGTCACAATAATACCTATTTGTCGCCTATGTGGCTCGATACTTGGCGAAAAATTGGAATGTCAAATGTCGTTGTCTCGTGGCCTAACTGCGAGACTGGCTTTATTTATTAGTGATATGATATGATATGATATTAGATTGTGCATGCATGTACTTGTTAATCACAACCTTTATAATTAGAAAAAAAAATATTAATAGACAAGTTATGCATGTTGGATTTAAGTTGACGGGCTAACATTAAACCCATTAATATAATTGGGTTAAGCGTATCGGGTTCGTGTTGACCCAATTACTTAAATGAGTCGAGAATTCTTGATCCAAAACCGCTTATTTCGAGTCTGGTTCATATTGGGTTATCGTGTTGTGTCAACTTTTGTCAGCCCTAAGACGATGGGAGTATAATATATTTTCAAAAAGCCTAATTTTAAAAAACCTGACCAAACATGTATAACACTAACTTCTAATTTATTTACTACCTAGTAATACTTATTTTTCCACTTCCTTTTACCTACAACACTAAGATTTTGACATTATTGCACATGCTCTCTCTTATTTGTCATATTGTGCTATATATGAAAAAAAAAAAAAAAAAAAAAGGTTATGTGAGATGTTAGATTCGTCTAAATTTTACTTTATTATAGTTTAATTTTTTTAATTTTGTGAGTGGTTGAGATATGCGTAATGGAAATCAACTTAATTTATGTAACAAAGATTCAAAGGGATTAAAAACAAAAAAGAAGGATGCACAAGTAATTATACTATTTAATTTCAAACCATTTATTCTCATTTGTACTTTAATATAGAAATTCAGATGAATCAAACAACGTCACAAAGAGTATGTTTTTCGTAACGTATAAAACGCAAAAGACAATTAAAAAAGTGTGTATAAATAGTATAAAATCTCAAAAGTTTCTCAAATATTGTAATTAAAAAGGAACGAGGATATAGTGTGTATATCAACGAAACCGGCACAACACGAACCCGAAGTTACTAAGAGAAAACACGAAGTCAAAATGACATACACAAAATCAACCCAAGCACTATTCGTTTAGATAAAGTGGCCAAATTATGAAATTATCTTACATATTTTTCATAAATTTGGTGAACAACACGAAATAGACACGAGACCAAACACGAACACAACACGAATTTTTGCCAGCCTCACTCAAAAGCGAAAGGTTGATTTTTAAATTACATAATTTTTATTTTTAAATTACGCGAATCAACCCATCTAGTTTATTGAAATCAGTTATACATAATTCAATGCGGTCGTACATATTAAATTATTAAGACATCCAGTAGCTTAGTGTTAGAAACATATTTCTTTAATAATTGTCAAAGGTTGCGGGTTCAATACTCCTAGCAGCCATTTTTATTTGGGTTTTGGGCTTTTCGAAAAGATTCCCTGATAGAGTGATGAGGAGATACCCACCAAGACTTATCCAACAAGTCAACAACCCATTTATTGCACTTTTATTTTCCTCGTTAAAAGAGTTCCGTAACTATTTAGGTACTCCGTAGTAAACTAGTAATAGATTAATTTGTCTTAGAAAAAAATTAATTTAATAAAAAAAACTAATAGATTTCTTTCCCACAAAAAAAAAAAAAAAAAAAAAAAAAAAAAAAAAAAAAACAAGGGTTCGTTTGGAATCGTTTTCAGTTTTCAATTTTTTGTTTTTTCAAAACTGAAAACAGATTTCAGTTTTTGATTCTTGATTTTTAAAAACTGTTTCCATTTCTCAGTTTTGAGTTTACAATCGACTCTCATGTTACCAAATCATTTATAGATTCTAGCTTTAATCAACTCTTATACTGCCTATAATTTTTATTTTTTATTATTATTGTTATTATTATTATTATTATTATTATTATTATTATTATTATTTATTTATTTATTTATTTTTAATTTTTTTAATAGCTGCTTATTTATTTTTACAAAAAGAAAAATATACATATTTCAATAATAAATTTATTGCTTGAATAAAATTATAACAAAATTTAAAGGAACAAGTACCAAAAAAAAAAAAAGGAAACAATAAAATAGTCAAATGCAATGTAATATTTATTTCTCGTTGATAACTTTCATTGTGAATTTTGTCTTTCCAACAATCGTTTTGCCAAACAATCTCGAAATCAAGCCATTCTTTGAAGTTCTTGTTGACTTACAGAAGGAGTCACTAGGTCCTCGGATCCATTGTTATTAATTGCATATACTGCCTAAGGGGCAAATGAACGATCGATCACAAATAAAACTCCTACTTGATCCAAACTGTACAATCTCTTCGTACCTTTATGCAAATAAAATAATCTAAGCTCCTTATCATATCTAAGATGTCCATGACCACACTTGCTCCACCGACGACGTTTTCGGCGAGTTTAGCACTTTCACTACATTCTCACTGTCTGATCTGATTCTGATATTCTTATATTGGCTGATGTTCTCTTTAATTGGCCACCAGACTGTATATACTTCTGCTTGCTCCGCACTTGTAGCAAATATTTTCCTTGCTCTCCCTTGGCTTGTAGCATTTTTGTCCTCCATAGTCCATGCCACCACTGCTTCCCATCCCGGCTTATCTTTCAATTTTCAAAATGAGTTGACATGACATGAAAAACAATGAATAATCAAAATTCCATTATTGCTGATGACACGAATTGAATGTGTGGAAGAGAATAAGAGATAAATGATTATTACGAGTTACCTAATTCCATTGTTATAATTGTAGGTCCTTAGAAAGCAAAACCATTTGTCTCCCATCACTAGTATGTTAAACATATAAACTTCATAAAGTAATTGATCCTATTTAAGCTAACTTGGCATATAGTTCTCATAAACTGTACCACAAAATTAATACTAGTATAAAAAAACTCTTTCTCCCAACTCCTAAGACAACAATTTGCTCCAATATGTACAGCCACATTATTCTCATCCTCCAGAAATTTGAAACTCCTCCGAAACTCCTCCACTAAATAAGAAAGGGGTCTAAAATACAGCAATCCACACTAGTACTCTAAGCAAAATACACTAAGCTTAAATTTCTCACAACATTTATAAAGCCAAATAAACCTATCCTATCAGTCACTTGCATCCATTGATGTCATCAAAAAAGAAGCACATGTTCAAAAGTTTAACTCAACAAATACACGCTACTCATCCATTGATTCAACTCTATAAACAAGTCTTCTTGAGAGCAAGGAATCTGATATAGACCCGAGTGTATGTACGTGTACCCAACTCAGTGAGTTATGACACAACTCCACTTACAATCTCTTAAGCTTCAATTAAAAGAACTAATTCTTATGTAAATAAGCAAGACACAACATACATGTAACAATTCCAGCTACAGCTAGCACACATAGATAACAATATAACCTCTTAACAACCACAAGCCATGACTACTCCACAGTCAAGGCATAAAGCTTCAATTCACCCCAAATGTTTAAAATTGATTACGTTACAAGCATAAAATCCATACTTCCTACTTCCTGAACAACAAATTCCCAAAATATTAAAAATAATGCACACAAATTATCAAATAATTAGCTAAGACTTCCTTCTTTGAATTAACTAAAACATATTAACATCATAATAGGGGCAATTAAGAATTAGAATCATAGAAAATTCAATCAATACGAGTGTTGATTGTTACAGTTAACAACACTCGTATTATTTTAGAAAAAAAATCCTCAAATATAAAAACCCAAATAAATTATATACAAATTAGACAACGAACGATTAAAATTCAGAAAAATAATGAACAAATTAATCAAAGAAATTGAATACAACAAAATTTAACAACAAAAGCATCAATAAATTGACAGAACAATAGGGAGAAATGTGGTGAATGTGATTACAAATGAAATTAAAAGAAACGAGGAGAACGCTCCATACCTGCAATTGCTTGCTCCTTGAATCTTGAGAATGATTTGAGGAAGAAAGATGAGATATTGAATTTGAAGGAGAACAATCGATGATACGCTTTGATAGGTTTATTTCATTTTTTTTTACAAAAAAAATCAAAACCTCAACAACTGCTTTGAGGTGTTTTAGGTTTACCATTTTATTTCTTACAAAATAGCTGTAAAGTCGTTTTTTTAAGCTATTTTACTAAACATTGTTTTGTTTTATTTTGGGGGTAAAAAACAAAAAAACCAAAAACAGCAATGATGCCAAACACACCCTAATAGATTAATTTCAAAACTTAAAATATTAGTGACTAATTTTAAATATGTGCATACTCAAATTATTAGTTGTAATAAATTTTGAATTATTCCATTTAATTTCATTCTATGTTCTTAGGCCCTGTTCTTTTGAGCTGTTCTGTTTTGCTCTGCTCTGCCCTACTCTGCTCTACTTTGCTTAAAAATAATCATTAACAATAATAATAATAATAATAATAATAATAATAATAATAATAATAATTAATATTTAATAATAATAATAAATTATTATTATTATTATTATTATTATTATCATTATTATTATAATTATTATTATTATTATTATTATTATTATCATTATTATTATAATTATTATTATTATTATTATTATTATTATTATTATTATTATTATTGTTAATACTAATAATGATATTATAAATAATCAAAATAATGATGATAATAATATTAAAAATAATAGTAATAGTAATAGTAGTAGTAGTAGTAGTAGTAATAATAATAATAATAATAATAATAATAATAATAATAATAATAATAATAATTTGCTACCAGTTGGGTGTTCCCTTGTTCGCCGTATCGGCACCTTGTTCTGCTTGCTCAAGGATGTTTGATGGGGATATTTATGGGGATCATGCAGTGTCTTGTGCTGGGATGGTGGGTATTAAACATCGGCACATCGTTGTTTGTGATACCCTTGTTGATATTTGTTTCCGCTCTGGGATTTCTGCAAGAAAGGAGGTCAACGTTGGGTTGTCTGGAGGGAACGACGGGGCTCTTCGGCCAGCAGATGTGTTGCTTTACTCTTGGGATAGAGGCCTAGATGTATGTGCTGACTTGACAGGGTCTTCTCCATTGACACAATCTGGGTTGTCTGACTTCGTTCCTGGTCGTGTCGTGTCGGCTGCGGCTCAGCAGAAGCGGGACAAGTATGGGGCACGTTGCAGGGCTATTGGCTATGGTTTTCTTCCTTTCTCCTTTTCTTCATTGGGGGAATTGGAGAAGGATGTTGTTGCATTGCTGAAGCGGGTTCAGGCGTTCGCTAGGACTCAGGATATTGGTGCTCGTGCGGCTGCTCACATCTTCAACAGGATTGGGTTCGCTATAGCTAGAGGGGTGGGGGCCCAGATTGTATCTCGGCTCCCCACTAATTTCTTGTAAATCGTTTGACTTTGTAGGTTTTTGATAATAATAATAATAATAATAATAATAATAATAATTCCGAAATCTGCTCTGCTTTGTTCTGCTCTGCTCTGTCCAGAAGCTCAAAAGAACAGGGCCTTAGTGTCTTTGAAGCGTCCAAACCCATAAGATATTTTTTTTTGGAACAACCATGGGAAAAGAGTCCATATAAATGCGTTCATTACAATTTGGGGTCGATTACAATAACAACAAGCCTTAGTCTCAAAATGATTTGGAGTTGTCATAAGTAACTGTACAACATAAAAAAAAAGTGACAAAACAAGATAATCAATTGTACGGTTTTGAAAATAGGTGTGTAAAGTGAGGAAAAAGAAGAGCATGTAAGTAAAAATTAAGTGAGTTTTAAATGTAAATCAAGAATGAAATTTTAAAAAGTTCTTAAAAAGTGGTAAAACCTGTGCGTTAAATTTAAGGTTTGAGAAAACTTTAGCAATGGAAATCAATACTGTTCATAAACCACGAATTGGGTAAATTAATATTCATTACAAGGTTAAAGTGAAAAATGAAGGACTAAAGACTTGTTCTACTCAACTTATTTTATATTTTTGTTCAGATCAAGTCAAGTCATATTAGATCAAAATTAACCAAATCAGATTAGAAAAATTTAGATAAAATCAGTTAAGACCAAATCTAAACAGATACTATATCATTGTTACGAAGTATTATTATTATTATTATTATTATTATTATTGTCGCAATTTTTGTTCAACGTATCCGTTCATTTATTCCTTCGTACAAGAAAAGGCACACAAAATCCGGTAGTTTCTGATAAAAAATCGTTTGCATCCAAAATATAAGAAATGCGTGCTTTCCCCTCAAAAAAAAAAAAAAAAAAAGCGTGCTTCCCAACAAAAGAATCAAAATAACGGCCAAACTAAAACAAACCCCCCTTTCCCTCCACCATAAGTCCATAACAACTTACATGATACAAATCTCCTTACAGTAACGAACTTTGATTCCTTATTACAGCTGGCTTTATAAAACCACCTCAAAACTCCATTTACACCCTCAGTTCTCAGCTCAAGCTAACAACAATGGCGTTTCTCTCTCAAAAACTCTCTTTCCTCTTCTTCCTCCTAGCCATCATTACCTCTTTCAGTCTAACTTCCTTCATCAACAACACCTCAACCCCAACTCTCGGTGTAACTATCTACCATCTCCCCTCATCGGCCACCCCTGAAAGCATCGTCGCCGCCGTCACCCACCTCCGAATCGTAGCCGTACAACTCACTGACCCAGACCCAGACCCCAACCTCATGGAAGAGCCTCACTTTGCTGCTATGGAAGATCCACCTCGCGGATTCTCTCAAACTTCTTCAATGACACTCTCATATGGTTCTGCAGGCTGAACCATGTTCGTTGGGGTAGCTGCAGGATCTTGTGCTGTCTTTTTAGAGCCTTTACAGCAATAGTACATCATAGAGTTGATGATGGCTGGAACACCAATCTGTAAGGAGACCTTTAGTCCCTTAGGTGTTGACAGATTGAAATCCATATTTAGAAGTCTTTCCATGGTGCTCTGACCACTCTCTGCTAACGGAGCTCCTCCGAATGTGCCAGTGGATGGAAAACTGATTAGGTTCAAGACGATGAACATTGAATAGAGTAATATGTTCCTGCCATGTAAAAATCAGTTTATTAACATAACTTTTTTTGAAATTAGTTATAAAAAAAAATAATTTCTTAGTGGCATTTGTTATTTTAAAGGGTGGGGCTTCGTCGGTAAGCTTGAGGAATTCTCATTTCTTCACCAAATTGCATTAAACTTGTACCAAAATGTTCACAATTCAACATACAATCAATTGGAACAAACAATTTTGTAGATTGCTTCCCCAAACAAAAACCCCCAATTCAATTTTTTTAGGGTTCTTCCCTCCACCATAACAACTTACAAAATACAAACCTCCTTACAATAACGAACTTTGATTCCTTATTACAGCTAGCTTTATAAAACCACCTCAAAACTCCATTTACACCCTCAGTTCTCAGCTCAAGCTCACAACAATGGCGTTTCTCTCTCAAAAACTCTCTTTCCTCTTCTTCCTCCTAGCCATCATTACCTCTTTCAGTCTAACTTCCTTCACCAACAACACCTCAACCCCAACTCTCGGTGTAACTATCAACCATCTCCCCTCATCGGCCACCCCTGAAAGCATCGTCGCCGCCGTCACCCACCTCCGAATCGTAGCCGTACAACTCACTGACCCAGACCCAGACCCCAACCTCATTCGAGATTTCAGAAAACAACAATGCTTCATTGAGACAATGGGGAATTTTCTACCCTAACATGACCAGCAAGTATGATCTACAGTTTAGTGGGTCCTATGCAAGTAATGGCCATGGTTTACGCATTATAGAAGTCGGCATTATAGGAGTCTCACTCCTTATAATTCTCCTGACTAGGTAAGTGATTAGATTTTAATTATTTAATCTTAATTTGAATTGCATATTATAGCACTATCATAGTTTCATTGATTTATTGTGATGTGTGATATGTTGATTTTGATGCCGTAGGATTTTAAGATTGAATTATTTTTATTGTGTTATAATTTTGAGTGTTAATCAAATAGATGATTACTATAAATTGCTTGTTTTGGATTACTGTAAGTGTAATTGTTGTTAAGATATATAGGCATAATTGGAGAGTGTGTTCATCACTTGAAGGATTACTGTATTTGTTATCACAGTACATGCAGGGTCATTAGTTAGATGCCATTACTGTAAGTGTAATTGTGTAAACAAGGACTACTGCAAGTGTAAGTGTAAGTGTGGGTTGGTGTAAACATATTTTGCAACTGTTATTTGGTGGATATGGCGTTGGAGGAATTGCGTAGTGTTTAATAAAACCCATGAAATCCCATGTGATATCAGGAAGTTTTTGCTTGATAAATTTGAGGAATTGTTCAGCTTGATAACAAGGCTCTAGTAATCCTTGTTTACACAATTACACTTACAGTAATGTCTCTTCTCCATGTTTACACAAAGTACATGCAGGGTCATTAGTTAGATTCCTCATGTAACGATTGACATCACACATGACCCTATTATGAAGCACTAGCCATAGGAACACACGCACCTTTTGCTGAACCTTTACGCGCCATACTAAATTCCAGCTCCCATCCTCTTGCTCCAAATTAAATGGCCAAGGCAGATTTGATTGAAAACTTGCCCTTTGTAGAATTACCCCAGTACAGTAAGTAACCAACTGTTGCATCAGGTTTTAATTCATAAGCATCGATTAGTTTGATAGCATCCAAAGGCAGGAGATTAGCAAACTTGGTCCAACTCCAAGTTCCTGCACTATCCCACATTTCTGCCACAGTAGCACCATCAATGCTTTGCATAATTGTTGTTAGTCAAATAGATGATTTTCATAAATTCTACACTGACAACTGATTTCAAAAAAAGTTTTGTTAATAAACTGTTTTTACATGGCAGGAACATATTACTCTATTCAATGTTCATCGTCTTGAACCTAATCAGTTTTCAATCCACTGGCACACTCGGAGGAGCTCCGTTAGCAGAGAGTGGTCAGAGCACCATGGAAAGACTTTTGAATATGGATTTCAATCTGTCAACACCTTAGGGACTAAAGGTCTCCTTACAGATTGGTGTTCCAGCCATCATCATCTCTATGATGTATTATTGCTGTAAAGGCTCTAAAAAGACAGCACAAGATCCTGCAGCTACCCCAACGAACATGGTTCAGCCTGCAGAACCAAATGAGAGTGTCATTGAAGAAGGTTGAGAGAATCCGCGAGGTGGATCTTCCATAGCAGCAAAGTGAGGCTCTTCCATGCATTTTATTTTACATGTTTTGTTACAATAAAGGTGCTTTGATGTACGTTTGACTGAGGAACTTGTGTTACATCGCATATTATTTCACATAAATCTGCATCAGATATCTTGCAAAAATTAGCACATAAATCTTCATGAAGTCACCTACCATATATAGCTAATATTTCTCTCACAAGCTACTGCATCACTCCTACAAAGTCTTGAGATAAATACACTAAAACGCATGTGACATGCACCCTCGGAGATTTCAGCTGTGGTTGACCTCAAAATAAAATGAATATAGTCCTGCATAAAACAAAAGTGAGTTTTCCGGTTTTCAAATAGTTTTAGATTGGCTATGTTGGTTGCCTTGGTATCAATTACCATTTACAACTTTTGTTCATTGATAATTATTGCCTATGATCATTACTCCCTCTGCTTATGATAAGTTTAACATTGGACTATGGAACGCATTATCAGGGCATTTGATTTAACTTAACTGAGAATTACTGTACTGATTATTACTGATTAAATGAGAATTACTCTGTATTGAACAATACAAATATTAATTGAAAATGATTTTTATATAATGAAGAGAACATGACTGAAACAATGCCAGTTGTCAGCCCTAATACTGAACAAATCAATCAATCAGTTTGGCTCAGAAAAATAAAATTTATGATCGGTTAATGTATCTCTTTGGTGGCAAAATGCCAAATTTTCAATGTTAGGCTGCATTTCCGGATAAACGTCTTGGTGTGGGAGCCTTTAGGATTGCACTGGAAAGTATATTCAACAGGTACTTTCTAAGCCTGCATTAGTGAACTTTGAGAGATGTACCGTTTCTACTCATATTGGCAGCTTGAGCTCTTTGATATTTGTTTCTTTTTTATTTGGTGAGTTTTGCCGTGGTCTTTGTGTTTTACTAAATCTTTTATACGTGGTTAATGTTAGAGATTTTGATTTGAAATGTTTTGTTAGACAAGTTTGGGAAATAAATTAGGCTTATGATATATCCTCGACCAGAAATAGTATTGAACACATTATTTATATGGGTTACTTATTTTTGGGATACTTGGTTTCTAAAATATGTACTCTTTTGCAAAACTATAGTTATTCAGTAATACGGCCTCTACACTCTACAGTCTATTGTTATCCGCAAGAAGTTTCTTCATATGTACTAATGGTTTAATGGACATCCTGTCCTCTTACAAAAACACTAGTCGGTGAATTCATACTCAAATAAAACCCAGTCCGTAGATGCAAGCCATCAATGAAGAGAAAATGAGCATGAACCACTACCACAGTACCACTATACTATGGTTGGATATAACTATGTTAAAATCCTCAATCAAGTAGCAATATTAAAACTTTCTGATTCACATTAAGGATAATATTGATTGAATCTTTCTAATCCATTAATATGAGGAGTTATGATTACAATGTGATTGTATATCCATGAAGGAGTGTAACTTATTGTAAACTACGAATTAGCAAAGATAATACAGTAAGTAGCTAAAAGAGTTCTGTGTGCATGTAATCTGGGGCTGAATGAATCGTGGTCATCTTTTAATCTTTTTGACAACAAGCACTTTTTATAGGGAACTTGTGTAAGGGGAACTGAGATGGTCCATGTAATTGGTGGTCAATGAACTACTTTATCAGCATGTCTAAAGTCTAAACCTAAGAGCAATTGTAACTTGTAAATTACACTCAAGATCTTAAGATATGGGATGTCAAATTCATAGTTGGGTTATTTTGCTTCTCTTACATTTGGTGCAGAATTCATCATACTCCACTTGAGTGTGTAATTTATGGAAAACCTGAGCCTATTGCTTTCAAGAATGCAGAAGCCACTTTAAGACAAATTCATTGCGATATGAATCATGAGTCTCTAGACGGTCACTTGAACAGAAATCAATCGAAGAATTACTTCAGTGCTCTTTACATGGTAGGTGATAATCCATCAGTCGACATAAAAGGTGCAAGAGAGGTTAGTTTCTCTATATTGTCGTTTGACCAGTAACCTATGACTATGTTACTTGGACTGTTCATTTCCCCTTGAGTTCTTGTGTCAGATGACTCATATCCTCGACACTCTGATATGTGTTGGACACTCAAGACACTTCAATATGGAACAAAACCACAGAAGTCTTTCACATCATAGCCGAGTTCACTCTGACACATACTCATGTAGGACACTAATACCCGAGTCTGAGTAACATAGCTAGTGACCTTCCATTTCCTTTAATCCTGCATTTTGCTGAATTACTTTATCTTGCCAACTTTCAGGCAGGAGATCCTTGGATATCTGTTTTGACCCGAACAGGTTTGTTCCAAGGTAAAGGAAATCACCAAGAGTTTCCCACAGTTCTGGTAAGTTAAATGAGTCACATAATGTAGATATGTGTAGTATGAGGGATTATTGGTGTCATAGAAATCAAGTTTGTCATTTTGAATTGGTTGATTTTTTTCAGGTTGTGGATACAGTGGAAGATGCTGTTGATTTCATTTTAGAGAATGAGTTCTCTTCAGGCCGTTCAGGGTGTTCATCTGTTTAATGTTAGCATTACAATGCTTTTAAGAAGCATGTACGAGCAACCGACTCGGAGCACATTACCATTCTTTTTGATGCATATAGAAATTATACCCAATTTTAGAATTGTATCATCATCTATTCATCTGTAGTTATCCTACAGCAAGGATGTGAAATCCCCTCCTCATCAAATCTGTAGGCTTATACAATAATACAATATGAAGTACAATATAGGATTCTTTTGTCTTTAATCAGCAATGTACACTGCAAAAGTCATTTTCATAATTCACATAATTAGGAATTTCTAGGGTGTTACATGTAAAGAAACTTAGGAACGATTAAAAATGGAAAGTGTAAAGAACTTTACAAAATGGAGGTAGTATAAACATATATGAGTACAAGTTAATATGAATTAGACATAATCGAATGATGTTTTTTCTTATGCATCATTACCAAAATATGACCAAAATTTAGTCAAACTAGCACATTAAATTAAACAGTACCAAATTTGAAATATTCCGCTAAATCAAACTGGACTTTAATAACGAGTAAGGTCATAACATACATCTCATGTCAAGAGAACAAATGAGCCTTGGGCCTTTTAACTAAAATTAGAACAAACACGTGTCATTTCAAGAGAACACATGAGATCCGACTGTTTTGAGTAAGATACGAACAAAAATATGTCATTTCAAGTCAGATCATACACGTTTCATTTCAAGAGAATAAGTAGTGAAACTTAACTCTTTTGAGTAAGATCAGAATTAACACATGTCATTTGGATAGCAAATGAGATGTGACTGTTATGAGTAAGATAAGACCATTCACGTTTCATTTCAGAGAACAAATGAAATTTGGCTTTTTTGAGTAAGATCAGAACAAACACGTGTCATTTCAAGAGAGCAATTAGACTAGTTTCTTTTAGACTTGCTCATCAACATTTCTATTTATTTCACTTCAACTTCATTTAGTCCAATCTAATTTAATTTAATACAACTCTATTATTTTCATTACCAAGTATGAAATATTATTTTATTAGTGTCCAATTACGACAGATTGATTTAGATTAGTTAAATTCAAAAGAACAAACGGGTAATAAAATCAATTTCTCCCTAAGAGAGGGGTGAAATGCTACACTTCCTTGCTTAAACCCCACAGAAATGTCTAATTATCCAATGCACAAGTCATAAGACTCATAGCTCATAATCCCCCCCCCCCCACACACACACACAAAAAAAAAAAAAAAAAAGAAAGAAAACAGGTCATGTTCTATTAGAGTTTATATATATATATATATATAAATTACTGCATTTCAGCTCAAATTTACTCCCTCTATCTCCAAATAAAAGTTCATTTATTTTTTGCACGCATCAAAGTGAATTAAAAAACAATAGAGCTTGATAAATTAAGAATGAACTTTAATTTAAGTGAGGTTTGATTGATTAAGAGTGAATAAGAAAATAGGAAAAAATGTCATGAATAAAATGATCTTTGCTTGGTCTTCTAAAAATAAAAGAATCTTTCGATCATTTCAGAAAAAAACCATATTTGGGGCATCTGCTTAAGATAAATAAATAAATAAAAAAACCGATAACTTGGGTTAAATGTGACACGTGTTGCAATTTAATTGGGTAGGATTGTTTATTTTAATTTTTAAAATTTTCTTTTTTAAAAAATAATTGAGTTTAATATATATTTAAGTTTTCTTGAAACAAACCCTTCCCCCACCACTTCCCCATCACTCTGCCATCCCTCTCCCCCTTCCTTATCATCACTTTGTAAGACTCTTTATTATTTAAAGCAGGTTCCCCATAAAGATGGTTATATTTTTGAGTAGTTGAAGGTCATTTACTCTTTGGAAAACCAGACATAGATCATCTTTTTCCTACATTTTTTTTTTTGCTTTTAAGAGATCTTTACAGAATTAGCAGCTTTCAATAATGAATCACTAGTGGTGTTAGCACCCGCATAGTGTTTCACTATTGAAATACAACAAATTCATTGAGTTGATAAGGTTTGCCCCGAAAGTAGTTCCCACTGAAACCATCAAAGCTCAGATATTTGAGTAAGGCCTAACTCTGACCCTCCAAGGTAAGCTAGAGGGAGTTACTTTTGAGACCCTAGATTAAATCTATGGCCGTGCAGCCCACTTGTACAGGATCAAGGGGAGAAAGATGGAGCATTCTGGCGAGAAAAGGAAGAACCAGGACTCTTTTCACGGGGGTGAAAGGAGGCATAAGCCCAATGGTAACCACCAAGGGAATTATGGAGATAAGAGGGACAACAAAGGGAACTTTGAGAAAGGGAATGGAGGCCAGTCGGCCAATGTTAGAGGGAATGGAAACCATAAGGGTGATAAGCCCAAGAGGAAGTATTTTTGTAAGCGGTGTGAGAAAGACCACCCAAGGAAGGACTGTGAGGGGAACCCGGTAACTTGTCGTCATTGTCAGAAGTTGGGACACCATGAGTATGAGTGTTTCAATAAAGAGGCTGGCGTTAAGTCAGGAAAGGTGAAAGAGTCTAGTGCTCCTAGCAAACCATCACAACCTAGTGGATCTACACCCAAGGTCAGAACCAGTAGCGTTGCGTGAGGTGCCTTAAAGGGTCGTGTATTCGTGATGAACAACCGTGAGGCTGAAACTTCTAATGATGTGGTAATTGGTGTTTTCCTTATAAGTTCTTTGTCTATGAAAGTTTTATTTGATTCGGGGGCATCCCATTCTTTTATTTCTAAGACAGTAGTTGAAAGTCTTGGGTTAGTGAATCCTAAGTCAGTTTCTCTAGATGTGTCTATTCCGTTTGGGGATGTGAGGAATTTTTCCAAGTTGTTTAGGAGTGTACCTCTTTCCATTTCTGGGGTAGAATTTCCATTGGATTTGATCAAGTTCGATTTGAAGGATCTTGATATGATTTTGGGTATGGATTGGTTGGGAAAGTATGAAGCAAAGATTGAATGTGCAGCTTAAAAGGTTACTTGGAATAGCCCAAGTAAGACCAGAGTGATATACAGAAAGGAAGGGAAAAGTTCAGGGTTAAGAATTATTTCAGCAATGCAACTATAAAATGTTTGTTAAGAACGGTTATCCTCTGTTTATGTGTAGTGTTCAAGAAGTTGGAAGTGAGGAAGAGAAGAGTAATGAAAGTATTACTGTTAAAATAAGAGTTTCCTGATGTGTTTCCAGATGAGATTCCTAGTATGCCACCAGTGAGGGATGTGGAGTTCACTATCGACCTAGTGCTTGATACTGGACCTATTTCTAAGTCTCCATATAGGATTGCTCCAGCTGATATGAAAGAGTTGAAGACTCAGTTAGATGATTTATTGGAGAAAGGTTACATTCGACCTAGTTCCTCACCTTGGGGATCTCCGGTGTTGTTTGTAAAGAAAAAGGATGGAAGTATGAGGTTGTGCATTGATTATCGAGAATTGAATAAGGTTATAGTGAAGAATAAGTATCCATTACCAAGGATCGATGATTTGTTTGACCATCTGAAAGAGGCTGGAGTGTTTTCGAAGATAGACTTGAGGTCAGGTTATCACCAGTTGAGAATTGCGAAGCAAGATATTCCAAAGAGTGCGTTCAGGACCCGTTATGGTCATTATGATAGAGTTCACAATTATGCCATTCGGTTTGAGCAATGCACAAGCAGTGTTCAAGGATTTGATGCATAGGATTTTCAGGCCGTACTTGGATAAGTTTGTAGTGGTGTTTATTGATGATATTTTGATTTATTCAAGGGATAAAGAAGAGCATAAGGAGCATTTGAGACAAGTGTTATTACTTTTGAGGGAGCATCAGTTGTATGCTAAGCTTTCCAAGTGTGAGTTTTAGTTGGAAAAAGTGGCATTTTTGGGCCATGTGATTTCCAAGGAAGGAGTTCCAGTTGATCCATGCAAGATTTGAGTTGTTAGTGAATGGCCAACCTCAGAGAATGTGTCGGATGTAAGAAGTTTCTTGGGTTTAGCAGGCTATTAAAGAAGGTTTGTGAAGGATTTTTCAAGGATTTCGAGGCCCATGACAAGTTTGATGAAAAAGGAGCATAAGTTTTTATGGACTCAAGAGTGTGAAGAGGCATTTCAGACCTTGAAAGAAAAGGTTAACCACAGCACATGTGCTGGCTTTACCTGATGAAGCGACCCATATGAGGTGTATAGTGATGCATCGAAGTTTAGATTGGGATGTGTTTTAATGCAGAGTCGAAGAGTGATTACGTATGCTTCAAGGAAATTGAAACCACATGAGGTGAATTACCCAACCCATGATTTGGAGTTAGCTGCAATAGTTTTTGCTTTGAAGATTTGGAGGTATTATTTGTATGGGGTGACTTGTAAGATTTTCACGGATCATAAGAGTTTGAAGTATATTTTCACCCAAAGGTATTTGAATGGAAGGCAAAGGATATGGTTGGAATTTCTCGGTGATTATGAAATGGACGTTTAATATCATGAAGGAAAAGCCAATGTTGTGGCAGATGGTTTGACTAGAAAGTCAAAACATTCAGTGAATGTAATGGTAGTACCAAATCAGTTGTGTGTGGAGTTTTAGAAAATGAATTTGGAGGTGATGGAACATGGAGAAGTGACTAGGATGTTGAATGCATTGGTGATTAAACCATCCATTTATGATGAGATAAGGGAAAGTCAATTGCAGGATGAGAAGTTGAAGGCAATAAAGAAAAAGCTCGATGAAGGTCAGGTGTTGGATTTCACCATTGGTGATGAAGGGAGTATTCATTTCAAGGGAAGATGGTGTGTGCCACAGAGTCGTGGAGATTTAAAGTAGATAATGATGGAGGAAGCCTATAAGGATATGAAGAAGACATTTTGGTGGCCCAATATGAAGAGAGATGTAGCTGAATTTGTAGCCAAGTATTTGACATGTCAGAAAGTGAAGATTGAGCATCGTAAGCCTCAAAGAAAGGTCCAATCCTTGGAATTTCTAAGATGGAAGTGGGATTCGATTTCTATGGATTTTGTTGGAGCATTGCCTAAGACAAAGGCAGGGAATGACACTATTTGGGTAATAGTGGACAGGTTGACGAAGTCAGCAGCATTTATACCCATGAGAAGTACTTGGACTATGGATCGGTTGGGGAAATCTTACGTGAAGTTTGTGGTGATTCCTGTCTAACTTTTGGCAAAGTTTGCAAAAGGCGATGGGAACGAAGTTGTTAATGAGCACAACATTTCATCCTACCACAGATGCTTAGACTGAAAGAACGATTCAGACATTGGAAGATATGTTGAGAGCATGTGTGATGAAGTATCAAGGGTCTTGGGAAGACCACTTGGATTTGATCGAGTTTTCTTACAACAACGTTTATCATGCAAGCATTGAAATGGCACCGTTTGAAGCTTTGTATGGTCGAAAGTGTAAAAGCCCAGTTTGTTGGAATGATATAAGTGAGACAACGGTACTTGGGCTTGAGATGATTGAGGATATGGTGAAACAAGTAAAGTTGATCCAAGAAAAGAAAAAGGTAAACCAAGATCGACTGAAAAGTTATGCTGATTTGAAAAGAAAGGATGAGGGATATGAAGTGGGAGAGAAAGTGTTGTTGAAGATTTCACCCATGAAGGGGTAATGAGGTTCGGGAAGAAAGGGAAGTTAAGCCCAAAGTACATAGGGCCATATGAGATAATCCAGAAAGTGGGAAAAGTGGCATATGAGTTGGAATTGCCCAATGAGCTGGAAAGGGTTCATAATGTGTTCCATGTGAGTCAAATTCAAAAGTATGTACCTGTTGTGACACATGTGTTACAACTTGAAACCATTGTAATGGATGAGAATTTAACCTATGAGGAAAAACCAGTGAAGATTTAGGATACTAAAGTGAGAAGTACAAGAAACAAGGATGTAAGAATTGTGAAAGTGTTATGATCGAACCATAAAACCGAGGAGGCTACATGGGAAGCTGAGGCTGATATGAGGAAACTTTACCCATAACTGTTTTCCTAAGGTTAGTGGTCGAGTTACGGGGACGTAACTCCTTTTAAGGGGGGTAGAGGTGATAGAATTTCGAGTCATTTTCGAGTAATTTTGAGTCTTTCTTGAGTTAGTTGTAGTCTTGAGTCGGGTTAGGATGTGCATGAACCATTAACTTAAAATGATTTTCGTATCTCTTTTGGCTAAGTTTTGGGACGAAACTTCTTTTAAGGGGAGTAGACTGTAATACCCCGTATTTTTGAGACGTATTTTCTAATTAATTAATTAATTAATTAGTATTTTCTAATAAGGGTATTTTAGTAATTTATTTTACTATTTGAATTTTGGAGCCAAAATGATATTTTAATTTTGGCGCTAAAAAGCATTTTAAAACTTAATTATTATTTTTGATTTTGGATAAGATTTATTATCCATTTATTTTATTTTAAATATGGGATTTTATCAAATATATATATATATATATATATATATATATATATATCGGATATTTTAATTAAGAAAAATTATATTTTCTTATTTACTTAAAAGGGCCGAATTTCCTAATTAATTAGGTAGGAATGTTCGGATTTTCTTAGTTAAATTAATTAGTGAATAATGGGTATTTTTCTAATTAATTATTTTCTAAAAAATATATTATTTACACAATCATTTTTATTCCTCAAAATCTAACAAAATAATTCTTAAAGACCAATAGGGAGGTCTGAAAATATGAGCATATAAGGCTCAATAATTTCGGCCACCTTATGGTATTTTTGAGCTAATTATTTTGGTAATTCTTGTATTTTGATTATCCACCTTAAATCCAATTTTTTCCTTAATTCTTATTTTCCATCTCCCAAATATTTGATCATCTTATCTATTTACCTTAAACCATTCTTGATTATTCCCCAAGCAAAGCCATTTACCGTTTATATTTCATGACCACATACTTACCATATTTCTTAATTGCTTAATCACCATAAAACTAAACTTTCCTTGATTCTTTAGCTCTCTTTTCCAAGTAATTCCTTAAACCAAATATGCCATAATTCTTCCTACATTTTTTGACCATAATTCTTGCATGAGCTTGCCTATAAATATCCCTTGAATCAAAACTAAAAACTCACACCAAAACTCTCTTCTTTCTCTCTAATTCTCTTATTTCTTGCGTCAACCACCACCACAAACCACCTCTATAGCTGGCTGCCACCACCTTCGGCTGACCACCAGTACCGACCACCAGCAGCAACCACCTGCCGGCGTGCTGCTGCTCCTTGTCGTGCCTCTTCTTCCTCTTCTTCTTTGGTTTTTTTATTTCTTCTTCTCTTCGCCAAATTAATTCTATTATTATTATTATGGGGGTTTTATAAAAATTATTATGCGTGCTTTTAATTAAATAAAATCAGTTTATTATTCAAGTTTATGAAAAGGAATTTTTAAGGTTCATGTACATATAATTGGGGGTTTTATTTTAATTGTTGTGATTATTTGATGACCTTATATTGATTAAGGTTATATTTAATTGTAGGGTGTTTTTGACAAGAGCTATTGAGGTTCCTTTTGTGTTTGCTAAGCGAGGATCAAGGTACGTTTAGGTGGCTAGATACCTTTGAAAGTGATTGATTAGAATAAGCATGTTTTGTATGATTTCTATGATGATTGGATTAAATTGATTTGAATTATGATTTATGAAATAAAGTATGTTTAAAGGAATTGATTTCAATATAAATTTGAAGGATTGATTTTAATATTATGTTTTGAATGATGGAATTATTAATCATGTTTTAAGAGGTTTGATTTTGAAAGCATGTTGAATTGAATCAAAAGGAGTTTTAAGTTGATTTATTATAAAGGATTGAATTTTTTTATTTAAAGAGGAGTGATTGAATTATTATTAAAGCTTTACAAGCATGATTATATTAATCCCACTATGAAGATTTGGTTGATAAGACTTTGGACATTGTATGACCGAGTCTTTCCTCAAGGATAACCTTTCAATATAAAGATATTAGCTTGGGGGGTGTGCACACTTAGGAAAGGAATTAAGTTTTTAAAAGAGGAATTGATTTTAATAATCATTATTATTGAATTATTGAGTTATCGAATTTTTTTTTAGAATCTTGAGAATTGTTTTTGAATTATGAGTTTGGAATTATTGGATTAATCATTGGAATTGGTTTTAAAAGCATGTTTGCTAATAAATTGAGCTTACTTATCTTGCACTTGAATGTACTTGGCATATTTTGCTAATTGTATTTGTTTTAGTTTTGGTTCGCCCTATTTACCTTAATGGTAAGCAGTGTTGACTATTTTCAGGTGGAGTCAATAAATAAGCATTTGGGAGTCCTGGGATATGCTTCACCTAGTTTAGGAATGTTGGTTTTTTGTTTCTTTTCTTGAGTACTCATAACAATGGTTACTATTTCTATTAAGTATTAATAAAGGAAGAGTTTGAGTTTCCGCTGCAAAGTTTTGGTTTGTTTTAGTAGTTTTGAGTAGCCTTGCGTAATCACGCGACACTAATACGCCTAAGTCTATCTCTACGGTATATGACTACCGAGAGTTGAATAATGTCACTATAAAGAACAAATATCCATTGCCCAAGATCGAGGACTTGTTTGATCAGCTTAAAGGTACAGGAATCTTTTCAAAAATTGACTTAAGGTCGGGATACCATCAGTTGAGGATTGCTGAGGAAGATATACTAAAGACAACCTTTTGCACGAGATATGGCCATTATGAGTTCACTGTTATGCCTTTTGGACTCACGAATGCGCCGACAACTTTTATGGACCTCATGAATTGAAATTTCCGGCCATATTTGGATAAGTTTGTTGTGGTGTTCATAAATGATATTTTGGTGTACTCAAGGGATTGAGAAGAATACGAAGGACATCTAATAAAAGTGTTGGAAATTCTTAGAGAAAAGAAGTTGTATGCCAAATTTTCAAAATGTGAATTTTGGCGAGAGAAGGTAGCATTCCTTGGCCACGTGATCTCAAAGGAAGGAGTTATAGTAGACCCATCTAAGATTCAGACAATTTTTATTGGCCAAGACTAACAAGTGTGGCTGAAGTGAGGAGTTTCTTAGGGCTTGCTGGATACTATAGGAGATTCGTGTAAGACTTTTCGAGGATAGCTCAACCCTTAACAAATTTGATGAATAAAAGTACTAAGTTCCAATGGGATGAGAAGTGTGAGCAATCTTTTCAAGAATTGAAGCGAAGACTCATCTCAGCACCAATTTTAACCTTACCATCAGGGAGTGAAGGGTTTGAAGTTTATAGTGACGCATCTAAGAATGGCTTAGGGTGTGTACTTATGCAACATGGGAAGGTTGTAGCTTATGCATCAAGGCAGCTCAAGCAACATGAACAGAATTACCCTACTCATGACTTGGAGCTAGGAGAAGTAGTGTTTGCTCTCAAGATTTGGAGACACTATTTGTATGGTGTGAGATGTAAGGTGTATACGGACCATAAGAGTCTTAATTACATATTCACACAGAGTCATTTGAACATGAGGCAAAGGTGATGGCTTGAGGCGCTAAACGATTATGACCTAAAGATTCTATATCACGAAGGAAAGGCAAACAAGGTAGTTGATGCTTTGAGTAGGAAGACAAGCCATATAGTGAACTTGATGGTTTTAGCCAAGGAAATTTCTGAAGAATTTAGGAAATTGAACCTTGAATGTGATGTTAGTCAAAACTACCATATATGATGAGATTCGTGAGAAGCAAATGTCAGATGAGTGGTTGACCAAGGTAAGGAAGATGAAAGAAGGAGCAACAACTGAGTTCGACATTAATGATAGTGGGACAGTGAAATACAAAAGAAAATGGTGTATTCCTAAGGATGAAGATCTTAAAAGGAAGATTTTAGAAGAAGCTCACAACATCTTGTACTCTGTACACCCGGGAGGAGATAAGCTCTATAAAGATCTTAAGCAACATTTTTGGTGGCCAAACATGAGCATGAAGTAGCCGAGTTTGTGACAAAGTGCCTGACATGTCAGAAAGTGAAGATACAACATATGAGACCTGGAGGGAAGCTGCAATCTTTAGATGTGCCAGGATGGAAGTGGGAGTTTATCTCTTTGGATTTTGTGATGGGATTACCGCTTACAAGGGCAGCAAAGAATGTTATTTGGGTCATGGTTGATCGTTTAAAGAAGATAGCAAGATTCATAGCAATAAAGGACACTTGGAATGTGAATCAGTTGGCAGATGCCTATGTGAAAGAAATTATGAGGCTACATGGAGTTGCTAAAGACATCATTTCTGATAGAGATCCAAGATTTTTATCAAAGTTCTGGGAAATACTTCAGCAAGCATTTGGCACTATTCTGAAGTTTAGCACAACGTTTCACCCTGTTACAGATGGACAAACAGAGAGAACAATTCCGACCCTAGAGGGCATGTTAAGAGCTTGTGTGATGGACTTTGGCAGATCGTGGGATGAAAGACTATCTATAATCGAATTCTCATATAATAATAGCTATCATGCTAGCATAGGAATGACACCTTATGAAGAGTTGTATGGAAGGAAATATAGAAGTCCCTTATGTTGGAGTGATATTAGTGAGTCTTTAACTTTGGGGCCAGAGATGATTAAAGAAACAACGAAGCAAGTTAGGCTTATCCAGGCAAACATGAAGGCAGATCAAGATTGACAAAAGTCATATGCAGACCAAAATAGGAGAATAGTGGAATTTGAAGTCGATGAAAAGGCTTTACTTAAGGTCTCACCTACCAAGGGAGTCATGCGGTTTGGTAGGAAAGGGAAGCTGAGTCCTAGATACATTGGGTCGTATGAGGTATCGAAGAGAGTTGGAGAGGTGGCATATCAACTAGCCTTACCCATGGAGTTAGCTAATGTTCATAAAGTTTTTCATGTTTCTCAACTTCGAAAGTATGTTCATGATCCTACCCATGTTATCCAGCCCGAGACTATTGAGCTAGATGAGACCTTGACTTTTGAAGAACACCTTGTTAAGATTCTTGATACCAAAATGAGGAGTACTCGAAACAAGGCGGTAAAGTTAGTTAAAGTGTTATGAAGCAACCTGGGAAGCCGAACATGAAATGAAAAAGCGCTACCCAGAACTTTTTGAGCAGCTCGCTGAGTTTCAAGGCCGAAACACTTTAAGGGGGGCAGAATGTAATACTAACTTATCTTTTGATATCATGTGAACCTTGTTCTGAGAGCTAACTAACTTTAAAGTTTGAGGACGAACTTTCGTTTTAGGGGGAGTAGATGTAATACCCCAAATTTTTGAGTATATTTAATCAACGACTTTTCTAGTATAAACTTTTAAATTTATAATTATTTTCAAATTAATATGTTATAGTAATAAATTTTATAATTAATATTTTCTATTTTCGGATTTATATATATATAAAAAAAACACTGATTTTGGATAATTTACAGAAACTGAATTTGAAAACTGAAAAAAAAAATGGCATAATCGGTTTCATGGATAAAAACTAGTAACAAAATCAGTTTCAATTTTAAATCTTGATCCTATCCCACAAACCTTCTAGACTGATATATACCATCAAGAATGATTTATAAATATATTCATCATCCTCCTCTACCGTCATTACGATCCCATAAAAAAAAAAAAGGAAAAAAAAAATCACTAAATCCTTCAGTATCTTCTAGAAGTGATCGTTGGGTGGGCCGAGCCGAAGCTAAAAAATTATTATGCCCACTTCTCGGGCAGGGCCAAGCTTTGGGCCGGATATTTTGTGCCCAAACCCGCCCAAAATGGTCGGGCCGTGTGGGCTTTTCGGGCCATTTTCAGGCCGGGCCTAAAAAATCAACTAAATATGCATAAAAACGCATTCCCAAACCCGCCCAAAAAAAAAATTCGGGGCGGGCCGGGCCGGGCTAACTTTGATCACCTCTTGTATCTTCATTATTTGGTAAGCTATGATCATCTCCTTCAACCTTTACCTTGAACCGCTTCATATATATATATACTATTTCCTATTCAATTCCTTTCTTCTCAAATGGAAGCCTTAATAAAAATAAACAAAAAAAAAAGTATTTGAAACCGAAACACCGAGTTCAGAACTCAGTACTACAACTCGTCATTTTTTTTTTCCCTTTTCGTCTCAATAATGTTAGTTTTTTTACTTTAAAAAAAATAAAAAAGAAAAAAAAAGGATGTTTCCTTTGAATTTTGTTTTCTCGAAACTAAATGGCCAGCCTACAAGTTTGTCTTCAATATTTTTCACTCAATTTATCAAGTAGTTGTTTAGGGAATGGTTAGATTAAAGGTGCTAATATATTAATCTTACCCCAAATTTTTCTATTAGTCGTATAATTATCTAACTTAGGCCATTTATTTGTTTATTTGTAGACGAAGGTCGTACAGAAGATTACTCAGGGAACTACTAACCTTTATTCACGTGTCCTAGAGGTAACTTTCAATGTCCATCTTCTTTAGAATTCCGTTAGAAAATTATTTCGATTTATTGTATGTGTTTATATGTGATGAGTGCATTACCGTATGATATTATGGGGTCATATATTTGATATTTTATTTTATTTTTGTGAACTAGTATAAATATTTTTGAAAAATGCGATTAATTGATATTGTATGAGTTTTGGTATCTATGAGTTTTAGAATAACTAAAATTTTGGAAACTGGGTGATTGATTTTATGTATTTGATGTTCTCTAAGGCCTATTGGACAATGAATAATAATTAATACTTCATGCAAAATGACTCTGTTCTATTAATATTGAAATTGAAATATTGTTACTTGGGATTAAATTGATTTGTGCAATACTTTTGTGCAATGTGATCGAATAATTTAATCTATTAAAATGTACATGAAAATTAAGAAGGGAAATGAAACTCGAAAGGGTGAAGAACAGGTTGCCCACTAGTAGTTATGGTTGCTACTAGTTGGTTTAAATTAACATATATTGTTGTTTAGTCTTCCTCCTAATCACTGGGTATTATTGAGGGGTGTGCACACTAGCGACATTCGGTTTATTTTCATGGCCATTTGAAGTTACGTGTGACCCTATGTAAGGTAGGTGGTGACAGGGACTAGTCCCGGTTTAATGGCGTTCTCTTTCCTTTTCTTAACAACAAGTAATAAAAGTGTTACATGACAATGTGGTAATGGTTTAATATTATAATGTCTATGTATTTGTATTATGTATAAAATGTTTTCGAACTAAAATTATTTATTTCACGGGGATGGAGTTAGAATTACTCAGTTTATCTGATTTTGGGAGTTTGTCTCTCTTTTCTTGTTTTTGATTTATTTTGCAGGTTGGTAAGAGGGTACTCGGTTACGTGTGAGGAGACGTTAGAATAATTGCGTAGCCATGACATTTAGTTACTTTTGAGCTTATTAAATTGTATTTTCATTTTCTGCTTTACGTTTATTTTCTACAGAAAATAAGTGTAGCAGTAACACTCCCAAGATTCGATAGTTGAGTATTAAAAATTAAAAGGTTACTCTCTTTGTATTAAAGGGCTTGAATTTTGGGGGTGTTACAGGCCAGCCGTGTCTCTTCTTCTTCTTTCCTTCTTCGGTTTTCTACTTCTTCTTCTCTTCTCCTAATTATTATTATTATTATTATTATTATTATTATTATTATTATTATTATTATTATTATTATTATTATTATTATTATTATTATTATTATTATTATTATTATAACAAAAACCTACAAAGTCAAATGATTTACAAGAAATTAGTGGGGAGCCGAGATACAATCTGGGCCCCCACCCCCCTAGCTATAGTGAACCCAATCCTGTTGAAGGTGTGAGCAGCCGCACAAGCACCAATATCCTGAGTCTTAAATTATTATTATTATTATTATTATTATTATTATTATTATTATTATTATTATGGGGGTTTTATATAGATTATTATGAGTGTTTTAATTAAATAAAATTATTTTATTATTCAAGTTTATGAAAAAGAATTTTATAGGTTCATTTACATATAGTTGGGAGTTTTATTTTAATTGTTGTGATTATTTGTTAACCTTATATTGATTAAGGTTTTATTTATTTGTAGGGTGTTTTTGACAAGAGTTCTTGAAGTTCTTTTGTGTGTTGCTAAGCAAGGATCAAAGGTACGTTTAGGTGGCTAGAAGATACCTTTAAAATTGATTGGATTGAATAAGCATGCTATTATTTTTATGATGATTGAATACAATTGAATTGATTTATGAAATAAAGTATGTTTAAATAATTGGTTTTAATAAATATATTAAAGGATTGATTTTTATATCATGTTTTGAAGGATTAAATTATTTATCATGTTTTAAAAGGATTGATTTTGAAAGCATGTTGGATTATATAAAAAGGAGTTTTGAGTTGTTTTATTATAAAGATTGGAATTATTGATTTAAAGAGGATTTATTAAATTATAAAAGCTTTACAAGCATGATTATTATATTAATCCCACTATGCGGATTCATTGAAGACTACGGACTTTGTATGACCTAGTCTTTCCTCAAGAATAGCCTTTCCACATAAAGCTACTAGCTTAGGGGTGTGCACACTTAGAGAGGAATTGGATTTTTAAAAAGGAATTTGTTTTATCACTTGAATTATTATTTAAATTATCATTGAGTTATTGGAATTATTGTGAGTATCTTGAGGATTGGATTGAATTATGAGTTTGGAATTACTGAATTAATTATTCGAATTGGTTTTAAAAGCATGTTTGCAAATAAATTGAGTTTACTTATCTTGCACTTATTGTACTTAGCATATTTTGCTAATCCGTATTTCTTATTTGTTTTGGTTCGTCTTGTTTACCTTAATGGTAAGCAGTGTTGACTATTTTCAGGTGGAGTCAATAAATGAGCATTGGGAATCCCGGGATATTCTTTACCTAGTTAGGATGTTGGTCTTTGTTTCTATACTCATGATAATGGTTATTATTTTTATTAAGTATTAATAAAGGAAGAGTTTGAGTTTCCACTGCAAAGTTTTGGCTTTGGTTAGTAGTTTTGAGTAGCCTTGCGTAATCAGGCGGCGGTAATACTCCTAAGTCTAACTCTACGGTATAATTATACGTATTATACTAGTGTTTCCGTAGAGGGAGATTTGGGGGTGTTACATCAGCGAACTCGAGTTCCGCTCCACTCTGGTTCCTATGGACGAGCCACTGACACTGATGTCCTCGGAGACCGTGGTTCTTCTCGGTCCTATTGTACATAGGGCCGTTGCAGATGCGATGGAGAAGAAGTCGAGCATGAGGACAACTCATTCCAGCTTGCTGGCCCGTGGTTTCAACTTAGAGAGGACTACTCTAGAGCAGCGGGTTCGCATTTTTGTTCTCATCCTCCTGTCGGGGACTATTTCTCCTGACAGAGGGAGCCGTTCTATGTTGTGCTACCTGCGCGCCCTAAGCGACCTTTGGCCGGTCAGCACCTTTGACTAGGCCAGTGTTGGCTATGGCGACCTTCTTTTGGTCTACGGCAGGGGTGCCGTTAGTAGAGTAGCAGTGCGGAGGTTGCCGTCACTGGTCTTTGGAAGGTCGTAGAGGTACATTTTTTTTGAATCTTGTGATTTCAACTCAGGCTTCGTTGTCTATTGGTTCTCATGATTCTTGAACTTCTCCCAAGTCTGGCTCTACGAGTACCTTCCTTCTCTAGCTCCGAGGCGGTCCAGGAGCAAAGCGTTCAC